CCTTCAGGAAATACTCTCCCCTGCTTCTTGCGTGGCTGGCTTCTCACCCTTTGGGCTCAACTTCCCGGGCCCTTTCTTGGAGAGGGCCTGCTCAGCCCACTGTCTCAGCAGGTAGACTTGGCCCTTTTGCCTGTTTCATAATTTATGGTTATACGCTTATTTGTATATTTCGTATGTCTCTCTCTGGACAAGTTGTGAGCTCATGAACTCGAGGGGCATATCTGCGCCGTTCACAGAGCCCAGCGATCTGTCCCATAGGTGGTTACGTCCACACAAGCTTCTCCTAACAGGCTCAGACAGCCCAGGTTTCTGATTCTCCAAGAAAGACTGGTAATAAATGCTTATGGTTTGCTGCACGTATGAATGAACGAATGCTGTGGTCAGACCTGCAGGGAGAGAGCTCTGGCCGAAGGATAGCAATCAGATCCGAGAAGACAACTCGGGAATGGCCAGCGAGGAAAGTCCACTCTCATTCACTCTCAGAAATGCTGTTACAGGCTGGAGGTGCGTTCACAGTGGAGGGGAAGGTTGTCCGGGGACTGGAAAGGCCTCCCAAAGACAGCATGGCATAACAGAAAGAAGAGTGCTATAAAGCCAGACCCTGGATTTTATTTTTTTAATTTGCTAGAGGGAGGACCAGCAGTTGGTGTAATGGCTATGTCGCTGGAGTTCCATGTAGTCAACCACAGTTCGAGTCCCAGACCCGGTGACTCAAACTCATGCCAGGCATGTGTGTGTGCATGTCCAAGATCCCATGAGAAGAATGGAGGAGAAGGGATTGCGGCGTGGCCATCCCCCCTGGGGGGTGATTTCTCGCTTTCTGTCTCTCTATCTCTCTCTATCTTTCTGGCGAGAGCATGTGCCCTATAGCAAAAACCTCTCCCCCCAAAGAAAGAAATTTGCTAGAGGGTGTGTGTGCTTGCTGGAAAGAGAGACAGAGAGAGAGAGCGTGTGAGAGAGAGAGCGTGTGAGAGAGAGAAGGAAAATGAGAGAGAGAAGGAAAATCCCCCCCATGGAGAATGGCCACACTGCACTCCTTTCTCCTCCAGTCTTCTCTCAGGATTTTGAGTACACATGCACTCGTGCCTGGTGTGTTTTTCAAGCTGCTGGGTCTGGGACTCGAACCATGCAGTCAGCTGTGTGGGCTCCAGCCACCTCAATCACCACACTACAGGCTGCTCCTCCCTTGCATTGTAATACTAGCTCCATCACCCACTGTGTGATCTGAACAAGCTGCTAAACCTCTCTGTACCAGAGTATCCTTATCTTCTGCCAAGTGGTACCAACATCCCAGGGGCCTACGTACATTAAAGGGCTCAAGACCACATGGGTCAGGCCCGGCTCCCACTGGTGGACTGAGTGTTGACAACAGGAGTGGAACTGGATTTTGGGTGGAATCAGTAGGATTCAGGGGCTGTTCAGCTCTAAATCACCTCCCCAGCTTCCCTGAGGAGAGGGAGGCTTTCGAGGAGATGAGCTTTTATGCTCAGTTTTCCACAAAAATAGCCTCCTCCATGAGGAGCCCCTGGTTTCGAGCTGCAGATTTCTTTGTTACTCAGCGGCTGGTGGGCGGGTGGGTGGTGCCCAGGCTGCTCTTTCCTGAATGAGCAGCTGTGCCCTCCTGAGCTGGCGGGAATTAATCATAACAGACTTGATCCCTGCCCGGCCTCCTCCATTCACAGCCTGGCTGCCTGGCCCGCTGGGAGGGGCCTCAGAGAAACGAGACACTGGACCTGAGGGGAGGGGTCGGGCCCTTAGCCTTTGCCTGGGTCTCGTCCAGCGGACCAGGCCTCAGCCTTCTAGAACCAGCCTTTGAGGCCCTGCCTCCTGCCCTCCAGCCACATAGCCGGCTTCTCCCTCCTCTCACCCTAGACACCACACCAGGGTTCACACCACAGGGGGCCTTCAGGCACCTGTGCCTCTTCCCACACTATCTTCTCCTGAACTCTGGCAAGGCCAGCTCCTCCTTGTCACTTGCAGCTTTGGAGAAGTCCTCCCTCTGCCAGCCCATCCACACGTGACCCATCACTCAGCCATCAGTGGGTCATTGTTTAACCAGCTCAGGAGCCACTGGGTGGAGAGCTGGCCTTGGCATCAGCATCCCAGCCCCTTCTCAACCCTTGTTCTGACTGGCCAGGCCTGGCCAGGGGCCTGGGGGCTGAGAGCTAAGAGGTGATTCCCCAGGGAAATCAGGGAGGCAGTTCTCAGTCAACCAGAGAATGGCTGGCGGGCCAAAGACTTGCAGGTGTTCACCATGGCTCCGCCTTCCCCTGGAAGGGCAGGTCAGTGTGTTTGGGAAACCTGGGTTCAGAGGCTAGCACTCAGGTCTCTGCTCGGTCACTCTATCCCTTCTATGACATGTGACTCGGTGAAGCCCCACCATCTCTCTGGGCCTATTTCCTCATCCAGGGAAGCCTCCCAGAGTTGTTATGAGAAGTTGTGCAGGCACTTTGGAAACTATTACCTCTGGAGGAGAGGAAGGCAGAGGAGGAAAAGAACAATTTAAAGAGGGGAAGGTGGGGACCAGCAGTTAGCGTGATGGCTATGTTGCTGGACTCCCATATAGTCCATCGCGGTTTGCATCCCAGACCCGGTGGCTTAAAATTCACGCCAGGCGCGTGTGCGTGCGTGCCCAAGATCCCAAGAGGAGAATGGAGGAGAAGGGATTGCAGTGTGGCCATCCCCCCTGGGGGGTGATTTCTCACTTTCTGTCTCTATGTCTCTCTCTGTCTGGTGAGCGCACACGCCCTATAGCAAAAATCTCTCAAAAA